TTTTGTTTTTGGAAATGTTTTTTTTTTTTTTTTTTGTCTCGGCTTGGCGGTTCTCTTAGAGAAAGGGAACGGCAAGCTGAGAGGGAATGAGGATTGGAAAGGATTTATATAAGTGAGGAGAGAAGGGGCAAAAATGAGGAGGGAGAGAGAGGGTAGAGCGGATGGTACGTGTGCGAAGTTGGTTCGGTCAATCTCACACCTACCCCCTCTTTCTCTCTCCAATAAAAGAAGAAGAAAAGAAAATACTTTTTTATGATTATTTAACCCGTGAGTGGGCAAAAAAAAAAAAAAGAACGGAAATGTTTAATGGTCCTTAGACGAGTTTGTGGTCAAATTCAGTGACTTTTTTTTTTTTTTTTTTTCCTTCGGTTTTCCTTTATACATAAAAAAAATAGTTGATGAACCATGTGCTTCCCACGTGAGAACCTCATATTAACGTTAGACACATTGGACGTGTTTAGAATTAATTTTATTTTTATTTTTTATATTTTTTAAGAAAGAAAAAATAAAATTATTTTTAAAACAGTGTTTGACGCAATAAAAATAAAAATAAAAATGAAAATAATTTTTTTAGTTTAGTGTGAAATTAAAGAGAAATGAAAAACGACTTTTAGTCGGTTTTCATTTTTTATTTTTATTTTCTTATCTCTCTAGCAAAGAGAGAAAGAAAAAGAAACATTAATGGGTTTTTTTACACTGAAAATAATCTCATGATAAAATTACCAAACACATTTTTATAAATGATTTTTGTCTGAGATTGAAAACGTTTTCATTTTCATTTTCATACAAAAAATAAATCATTTTAGAACGAGTTTCAAACGCACCTATTATTTCTACTTTTAGGGTCTCGTTATTGCATTTAAATCGGTGATTCTAATTTATTTGTTAAATTTTACGAGAAGATATTTTTAAATTTAAATTTTTTATGAGATGAAATATATTATAGTAGAATTAAAATTACGGGTTCAAATATATGAACCAAAGGGCGCATAAGTAATTCAAGCTTTAATTTTGACTTTTTTTAAAAGTCATTTTAATAATAATTTATTACTTTCATTGGGTTGTAAGAAATTTTAGTTTTGTATTATTCCTACCTTAACATTTTTGTTTACAAAAGTAACAAAAACTATACCAAAATAAACAAATGATGGTTAGACTTTTAGGAAATTTTGGTCTTGTTTGGCATGTTATATTGGATAAGATTTTTTTAAAAAATATTATATAAGATTATGCGGTTTTGATTGGACTTGCTTGGGTTAGAAGGGATTTTGTTAAATCCTATCTTGTGTTTGGTGCATCATTGGATAGGACTAAAATAAAATTTAGGAAAATTTTCATACAAAATCAAATTTGGGAAAAAAGTCAAATTTCATACAAAATTTCATATAAAATCATATTTGAGAAATTATCGTACAAAATTAGATTTAAAATATGAATATTTTCTCTCTCTTGTTAAGACAGAGCTGCGATGAGCCTGGTCAGAGCTGGCAGATATGGGTCGCCACGGGGCTGGAGTCACTGAGGATGGGGTTTGTCGAAGCTGGGGACGCTAGGATAAAGCTGCGATAGGCTTGGTCGCGCTAGGGGCTTTCGGCAGCTGTACGGCGATGTTAGGTTGGGCAAGGGACTGATTGGAGGTGGGGCTGTTGCATGTCAGGTGGCGATGTGTTTAGCTAGGTTAGAGAAATATTATAATCCAAAGTTTTGAACTAATAATCCCACCCATTTTTGGAGGATTATTTATCACAAATAACTTGAATTATGTTGGAATCTTTGGATAAGTTATCCAGTTAAAAAATGTTACCAAACATGGGATTAGAATTATTTATCTTAATTTTAGTCCATATCTGGTGTGCCAAACAAGGTCGTAGAGAAAATAACAGAGATGACTGATGCTTTTAACTGATGCACATTCCACGAAAAAAAATATTTTATGGGGGGGAAGGGATCAAAAGGAAAAAAGAAAAGGAAATACTTAAGTGCAAAAAAAAAAAAAAAAAAAAAAATTTTATGGGGGGGAAGGGAACAAAAAGAAAAAAAAAAAAGAAAAACTTAAGGAAAAAAAAAAAAAAAAAAAAAAAAAAAAAGAAGGAGAGAAACCACAAGACAACAAAATGGAAGAGAAAAATGAATGAACAATACAAAACCGAAACTCTCATTTATACAACTCTAAAAAAAAATTTAATAGAGGCAAATGAAATAAAAAGTTATTTTAGAGTATATATGAAAAAATAATATTTAAGAGCGTTACATAAAATGGATGAAAAAATAATATTTAGAGTGTTACATAAAATGGATGGTAAAGTAAGATACATACTTGTGGAAAAATAAAGTAAAAAACTAATTAAGGTGTATATACTAGAAGGAAAAGTATATGTAACTAATGACTCATTTAAAAAAAATTACTAAAGTGGAGTACTTACAAAAAAAAAAAAAGTATTTATAAAATATCACATTTAAAAATATATATTTTAAAGAATTATTAGAAAAAATTATATATTTTTTATGAAAAAAAATATTAAATTTAAATGATATGGAAAGTAATAAAAATGTAACGCTAGAAAAGTAAAGAAAAAAGTTCACAAATTTGGGGTATGAAAGAGATTATTGTTAACATTTTTTAACATATTTTTACATTAACTCTTTAAAAAATATTAAAACACATCATTCACATTTTTTCATTAAAAAAAAAAGGAAACAAAAGTATCGGATAATCTCCTTCTCTCCGTTTTTCCTTCTTCCCGACTCTCAACCGTGACGGCGACCTTGCCGGAGGAGGCACATGGCGGAGCTCTACGCGCAGGAGGGAGGCTTGGGGGCGGAGATCTTGAACGCCGAAGGCCGAAGCTGCATGGGCACGACGACCACCTCGCGCGACGGAGCGTCAGGATGGAGACCTCGCACGCTGCAGATCTCCTTGGGCGGCGTCCCCCGCTGCCGCCTCACCGGCCACTCCCACTTCATCCATGACGTCGTCCTCTCCTTGGTTAAGAAAAAGTACCAAAAATTGATTGTAGCGTTAAGTACAGAGCACTTTCAGTTGCTTGATTTTCCCATTTTTGGTGTTTTATTAGCAACATAAGCTCTTCGTCGCAAAAAATCCACCACTTTCTCGTTACGTGAAGAAATCAGCTCGTTTATAAATTAGAATCATTTTTAATTTAAATATATATTTTTTTAAAAAAATACTGTAATAAATTATAAATCATAATTCAAATCAGAAAATGAATCTTTCAATTAAACAGACTCTCATTTATTTTATTAATTTAAATTTAAAATTTAAATTTTATTACAGTAAAATATTATAAAAAATAATTATATTTAATTTTTTATTACAATAAAAAATTTTTACATAAAATCACAACTTAACTCAAATTAATAAAATAAAAAGGGCTTAAAGAAAATGCTTAAGAGACTTGAAAATTTTTCTATTTTATATTTTTTTATGGATAAAGAGAGACAAAACTTTCTTATACGTATGAAAACGTGTCAGATTATGGCACGTGTAGTCGTAGCGCCGTATGGAAAAAGTTTGCGAATGTGTAAAACGTGCTGTAGTCTACTAGTCTTTCTACGCGTTCAAGCAAAAAAACAAGAAAAACAAAAACATAAAAACAAAAAAGTAGTCTTTCAATCCATGAAAGTTTAGAATTGTTTGCATTATCTTATGTATGTATGCAAAGTTGTGTAGCTAAATTTTCTTTTTAACAAGGTGTGGTAGTTGAGCAAAAAAACTCTTCATTATTTTTTCTCACCTACTTCCACGTCAGCAGTCTTGTAATCTAATCCTGGTGAAAAAAGGCTTCTAAGTCATATGTTATAACGTAGTTAATAATAATAACAACAATAATAATAATCATAGTAATTATAATAATACTAAAAATAATACATCAAATTTAAAATAAAGATGAAATAAGAGAAAGATGGTTTGGAGGAAAGCAACAAAGATACATGTACAGAGAAATGGCGTACTTACTATATAGTAAAAATAAAGAGAGTTTAAACCTTAGACTAAGGGTGACAATTTGTGTTAGTGGGTCATGTTCGTATAAATCCATTTATTAATTGTATTAGAAAATATCAACACAAATACAACTTGTTTATTAAATGTGTCAAAAATATCAACCCGAATACGACTCATTTATAAATCGTATTAATCGTATCAACCCGTAGAACCCGTTTAAATTAATATATTAAATAAATAACTAATATAATAATAACTTATTTAACACGGTCAAGATATGTTTAACATATTTATTGGTCAATTTATTTTTCCTTTAAGACAAATAAATGAATTTTACCTACAAATATTAAAATTCACATTATTTGTATTTAAGATGTCATATAAACTTTCATGTTATATCACACATCATTAGATTGCAGATGATACATATAGTTAATCGTGTCAATTCGTGTCACTTCGTATTAGGAGTTCAATCATAACCCAACTCATTTATTAATCGTGTCAACCTGATTATGACTCAAACCCATTTATAATAAATTCAAATTCGCTAACTTCGTACATGTTTCAAGTTATGTCGTCGTGTCACTACCCGAATTGCCAGCCTTACGTTAGACCATGCCATTACATGGGTTTATTTTGGGAACCTTCTCTAGAAGTCAAGTAAATTCTTAACTAGATCAATGCCAACTTTTAACTAGAGATGCAAGAACAGCCTAGCCCGGCCCGTTATCCTTAGCCCCACACGGGTTGTTGGCCGGGCCGGCCCAGCCCACAAATTTTGTGGGCCAGGCCGGCCCGTATAAGAATTACCTCGGCCAAGCTCACACCGAGGGCCAATTTTACGTGAACCAGGATGAGTCGTGCCATGGGCCATGAATGGGTTGGCCTATTCAAGGCCCATCTTGACCCATCATGGGTTTAGATGGGCTAGCCCATCTAAACATATAATTTTCAATTTTTTTTATTTTTAAACAAGTTAACACATATAAAAGTTTGAATAGTCAATAGAAATATGAAAAATGATATTTTATTTATAATTGTCTCATTAAAAACCTTTATAAGGAAAACCCAGTGTCAGAAATGTCAAAATTTTCAAAGTCATCAACC